GACAATCAGAACACATCAATTGGTGTCAGCGGTGGGATGCTGCTGTCAATTGGAACACATCAACACATGCTCATATTGTCTTGAGTGACACTCAGTGCGAGTGATTCATGTGAAGAAAACCAACAACTATTTCGACCTTCATGCTGAACGCGCACTCCTTTCCGTTCACGCCTCGCGTAAAGCTCTCCCTAGAGTTATTGTATATGCTACCTTTAGGTATGTGCCACGGTACATCATATCTCCCTTGATTTAGTATATATGCTACTTTTAGGTAGCAGAGTTGCGCCAAGGTACGCCATCTTAAGTTCAAAAGTCTTGCGGGAAAGGCACTCATCACCCTCGTAGGAGCAGCACTCACGTTTCAGAGTACTAGCGTTGTTTTCTTTATTTTTTGCTTTCTTTATATTTTTATGAAGATACGAGCAAAGCTCAGTTGCTTATATCACGCCCAGAAGCCTTAATTTTATGTTTACGTCGTTGGTACATAATAATGAAACAATGTGCGTCGGCTTGTTCAACCTGCTAGATATATATTTATATTGATGACAGATTAGGTTCATCTTTTTTCAGCTTTTTTTTTTTTCATTTCCAGATATGAAATTATTTTTTCATCTTTGGTTGCTATTGGGCCAGTTAAAAATAATTTTTTTTTCGTCGCGTTGGGTCATTCGCGAACTGTGTGAGAAATACAGCTTTATTTTTGTAGTCTTCAACTGAATCGAGCGGGATAGCGATCAAAAGTGGCGGTGTGATGCCCGGAATACAGGCGGCTCTCGTATTAGGCTCGTGTTACAATCACGGCGCACGACACCTAATTTGAATCGTTGTTCAACAGCCGCGTCACGTCCAGCACTTCTTTCGCGGAAGGTTTGAAAGCTGCATGAAATTCACCCGCTTGCAGCTACACCTTGCCTGTTCTGTTCTGTTCATATGGGCTGCACGTACAATTCAACACAGAATGCACCTGCTACCACATTTCTCGCGACCAACAGGCAGCATAAGTTCAGTACTGAAGAAGCACGGCGAAAATAACAACAGCCGATGGCAACCACGCTTGATCTGCCCGGAATCTGCTGTTACGAAAAGGAGAGGCCCCAAGTGTCTCCTGGGTAGCGTGTCACGAGGGCCAACACAGGGCAGGGAGCATACAGGCTGTGGCAAGGCAAAAGGCAGCCAGAAAAAAACAAAAAAATTTATATTTACAGCCTATGTACAGAACGTGAACGATGAAGCTTCCGGCGCTAGATGCTCTGGCTATTTACAGGCGCCGAGTCTCTGAAGGAAGAGGGGGCAGCACCACCATTGAGACGCATGTCTCTGTGAAGGATGCACCCATTGTTCGTGACAGACACACTCAGTATCTGTGCGAAGGGCGCCAGCACGCTCATAACACTGCGAAGCATCAGTGTCGTCTGCGTAGTGTTGGCTTCTCCGCAGTGCAAATGAACCACCTGTCACCACGTGGCGGCACTCGGTGAATAAGGGCACTGCACTCCTGGAGGCACAGCGAGCGGCGCTCGAAAATCGGTGGTGCAACTCTGCTACCTAAAAGTAGCATATACAGGAACTCTAGCTCTCCCCTACTACTGGCTCCCTCTAGGGAGATGTAGCGACAATTGTCAACTCCGCTTCTACGCTCTCGTCTGCGCCGCGACGCGGCGAACCGCACTGTGTGTTTTTCATCAAGCGTCTGTGGCCGTTTTCACCAAGAACTCGACTTTCATTGAATCAACCGACCCACCATGTAAGCCTCTTTGCTCCCGGGCAACATACAATGCACTTTAACCAGGCTGTGTAAAAGCTGGATTCTACTATAGTGTATGACATTTGCCTACAACATGGCTCTTAAGAAAGCCACCAGCTTTGCGCTCCTTTTAGTCTGGTCAACGGTCACGACGTCCGCCCAGTGCTTCATATCATGATGATTGATTTGTGGGGTTTACCCCAAAACCACCTTATGATTATGAGAGACGCCATAGTGGAGGGTTCCGGAAATTTTGATCACCTGGGGTTCTTTAACGTGCACCCAAATCTAAGCACACGGGCCTACAACTTTTCTGCCTCCATCGGAAATGCAGCTGCCGCAGCCGGGATTTGATCCCACGACCTGGGGGTTAGCAGCCAAGTACCTTAGCCACTAGACCACCGCGGCGGGGCTGCTTGATATGCTGCGACCAACTTCGCCGGATGTGACTATCACGGATGCAGATGTATTTGTTTTAGTTGCCGTAGAAGCCCAAAAGCTAGCCGGCTTATGCATTTTATGGTGGCAAAATCAAGATGCTCGCTGGTACAACACCCATCAAAGATTTGTAGCATACGAACTGGTTGACCTAGTCAGGGTTTGGACCCCTATAGGTCAATGAGGGTGCTTAGAGAAATATTTATGCCAGTACTTAGGACCCTATAGAGTTCGTGATCGTCTCCAGGAAGTCATCTATGAAGTTGTCCCAGCAGACACATCGCAGTGCTCTTATAGACTAGTTCCTCAGATATTGTTCACGTCCCCAGAATGAAAGCATACCATTAACGTTGACTTTGACTGTAAGTCACAAAAACTTTATGGTGGGGAGCATGCCTTCAGGACTATTGTGCATTTCTGTTTTGTTTCTTTTATCCTGCCCTTGTGCTTCTTAACAGACACAAACATTTTGGCAAGCTTTCACTCTTATTCGGAGCCGCGGCATCCATACGATGCTTCCTTTTTGCTGGGAGAGGGTAATGTCACGCTGTCGAGGTGGTAGAAAAAACAAGCATAGAAGTTAGTGATGGCTGTGGCCAAGTAAGCAGTCTGCTTTAGGTTCCTGTTCGTCAATAACTCTTGCAACAATATGGGCACTTCCAAAGATTTTTTAAATAGAGCCTTTACTTCAAAGGCAGAGACTTGCAGAAACATGGGAGTGCCCAAGTTTCCTACTTTGAAACGAGAAAGGATGTTTTATTGGGAAGTCAGTATTTCTAACTTGCATTTATTAAAAAGGAATTTTCACTGTATTTTAGTGGATGTGAAGATTAAAAACTCTGCCACAATCTCAATCCATAACATTGTGTATGCCAGAAGCTTCATACAGTCAAGTATTGCAGCATCATTTTGAACATTCTGAACGGCCGCTTATTTGCCAGCTTCCGAAGTTTAGTAAGGCTATGTCAAGCGGCTTTTTACAAGCACTGACTACTGTTTTTGTTGGTACGTCACATCTGAAGTGATTTAGTGCAGTTTTTTCGAAATGAGACGGGACAAAGGGGACACACTTATGGCACTCAGCTGGCACAAAAATAATTCACATAGAGCAGTGAAGCAGAAGCAGTTGTTTAAAACGGGACTTAGCCACATTTTCTTGTTTGTAGCCTCAACGCTTGCCTCTGTTGATGACATACTGGCTAGTGCCAGCACTAGATCGATTTTAGTTGTACATCTTCACTGCCATTGCTCATTGCAATGAGAAACATACAAGAATTTGGCTGGCCTAAGTACACACATATGTAAAGAAGTGAGGCTCTCGCTGTATGGGACAATAGGCTATGTTCGTAGCTTGCTCATTTGACATATTCCACCTAGCTATGTGTCAGTAAGACACAAAGTAACGTGCAGCAGTGATTATGAAGTGTGTAATTTTGTGCTAGGTTAGAAACAACTTTTTAAGGGCTTTGAGTATAGTTTCGTATATTTAGAAGAGCCGTTTATTAAAAAGAAATCAATGTGGCCGGTGCTACCTGAGTGGTCCACACGTATGATGTGAAGCAACAGTGTTTACTTATGTGTGATAATGCTATTAAAAAATTGTACAAATTTAAGTTTGTTGTTGCATGACCATAATAAAAAACAGCACGCAATAACAAAGACAAGAAAGGCCGAACGGGACTATCGTGATCTTGACAATCACTGTCAGTGCTACTTCTGTTAGGTCTTTTTTGTCTGTTTAGAAGTTATGAATCAATTCCTGTAAATAACTTGGCATGCAAAAATAGACAAAAGAGAGAAGTCAAGATACCACCAACGCTGACAAACATCTTAAATGACACACAGTGGTGGCGAAGAAGGTAGTTGTAAAGACTCTGAGCACATGCATGGGCACATAGGTGTGCACACAAGGATGAAAAGGGTAACTGCCCCCCGCCCCCCCAAACAGGGGCAGGGGGTGCAATATCTGTTGGGCCGTGCAGGTCTTTGATGGTCGAAATCTCCCGATATTGTGTTCCAAGAACTATTTACTTCTTATCCTGGGGAAGGCCAGGGACCAGTGGCAGGCCATTGTGAGAAGCGTGTCAAGGCTTCATTTTTTATTTATTTATTTTTCATTCACTGTGAAGCATGCTGTCCTTTGTGTCTGGCGAACAACGAGAAATGAAAACCCTAACTGCAGCGTACGCAATGTACACTGATGCCAGCGAACAAAGCGTCGGCCATCGATAATCTACTATGTAGTTTAGCGCATCGATTTTATACATGTGCTATTAAAGATCCCAGCATTATCTCTGGTGGCCACATTAGCTCTAGACTGTTCTCATGGTACGGGAAATCTAAACAGAATAATTTCAAATTATCGTGAAGCTTCTCGAACACTGCTGTGAGACATGCCTTGATTGTTGCTTGCAGTCTTTGTGGGGGAATCCTGAATGCATCAAAATAAAATGTGTGGCAGGACGTATCAACTAGCTTAGCTCTCTCTGAAGTACCAATTAGGCTGCACTGAGTTTCACTAAAAATGCTTTTCTTTAGTTGAAAAGTATGGCTTTCTTGGCTGTCTGTTGCAGTTTCGCTGTGTTGATTTATGCTGGATTAAAGATGGCATTGTTATGTCTTGTTTTCTAATCTGTTTCTCTCTGGAATTAGTGCAGGCGATATACGTTCGGTTCATCTTAGTTGAAAAAGGCAAGTGGTGTACGTTAGACGTGTTACTTGAGCTGCTTGCTTCTCAAATTTTCATCACCTCTTGTTGGGTATAAACAAGCCAGTTGTAGGAACCCGCTGCTCCTGCTTACCAATATTACACTCCTAGGGCTTGCACGAGCTGCGGCAGCTGAAGCTTCGACGGGGGCCACGACTGACGGCACGAGGGCTTGGCCGCATGTTTGAGAACCAGAACCTGGCGAATCTCATCAGCCTCGAGTTGGACAGTCTTGCCCTGGACGACGAGGCACTCACCCTTCTGGTTCAAGGGTGCGTGCGTGCCTCTTCAGCAGTGTGTATAATGGTTCTTGAAATGAAGGCTTCGATGGATGCCCGTTTGGTCGTGAAGAAATTAAAAAAACGCAGCTGACCATTCTTTGGAAATTTTTGTGTAAAAGCCATGCCTTACCCCTTGCTTGCAAACACACTCAGCACCTTGTTAATATTCCTATCAAAGCTGGCTGTAATAACCAACAGTAGGGTGTCGTCCACATACCCTTAGACTTTGTGGACGAACCCACCGAGGGCACTCACAAGAGCGCTGTCCACTGTAAACAGAAATGCGTTGCTCAGTGCTGGGGCCACCATCAAACCAATACAGACCCACGATCTCTGGACATAAATCTAATCCTACCTCGTTTCTAGATGCCACACTTATTCACAATCTTCAATTCATCATTGCTGAAGATGCACTTCTTTATGCTAGCCAGCTTTGATCAGAATGTTGACATTGTGCTGAATGTGTTCACAAGCAAGGGGCAAGGCTTGACTTTTTCGTGCGAACTGCCAAAGAATGGCCAGCTGCGTCTTTTGCATTTACAGGTGTCATTTGAAGAAAAACATGTTTGCTATATTATTACCGCGAATCTGCTTCTGACAGCTCAAGACAAACCTGGCCGGTAAAGAAAGCAATAGTGTTAGCTTGCCTAAAATTTGTGTTGGACACCTTATGGCCACAAGTTTTTGCATGCAAGTAAAAGTTTAAGGAAGCTGGTTTTTCTGGTGATGTCATAGCGGCCACTTGAGAAAAAATTCAAACAATCCTTGAGCCTTGCTATACTTCCAGCGAAAGGGGTTTCACAGGAAAGAAAAAAGTATCTGAAATCTCGTACGTCCGTTGGCTTTTGCTGGGCATTAAGGGGAGACGCTGGTCTTGAAATGAAAATTTTTATTATGGGAGATATTATAATCAAATTAGATATGTATATGTATTTCTTCCTCCTCTTTTCAAAAGTGTAATTAGTTTTAATGTATACCAACTAGTTGTAAAATTGTTAGAGAATAAGTGAAGTCCAATTATATAATTTCTTACGGATGGTTAAGGCACTTTTCCTCAATATTTTTAGGTTCCGATTAAGATGCAGCTTTAGCCAAAGACCTGCCAATTGAAGCTATGCTATTTGTATTGTCACTGAGATATATAATCATATAAAAATTTTCATTTGCATTGATGCTCTGCAATTTTAAAATTTAATTAGCTCATATTATCATTCATAACATTTCATATGTGTCTCTTAACCACAAAAAAAAATAGCATAGCTCCACAGTCCTGTTTCTTCCGAGTTCAATGGTACAAAATTTTAAAAAAATTACTTCACAAAAACATGATGAAAAATTCCGTAAGGCTGGTCGCTGAGAAAATCACATTTGAAGTTTCGACATGCACTGGAAATTTTGTGTAAGAAATTTATCCACAGATTTTATACACATGTTCCCCATCTATTCCCCTGCATCACAAAAGAAAATGCCCCTTATTCTACCCTAGGAATCATTTTTAAAAATTTTTCTAATGTGGAAAGCAGTATCAGAACCCCACCATGACAAAGCTGTTGAGGTGTTTTGGAAAAGCCATGGGGAATGAGGCTCAAATGATTAGCTGTTAGGCAGCATGCTGCCCTTGGCAATAAGTTGCCGAGCCAGTAGAATATACAGTCGATGTTTTGATTTCTTAGACCCTCAAGGGACCATGAAAATGTCTGGAAAATCGAATGCATGTAAAAATGCACCTTTTTTACAGGTATTTTTTGCTGACGGAGAGGGTCACGGCAGGAGTACAAAATTCTCTTTGCAATCTTGCAAATGCATCGTTTAGGTGACTCTGAAAAGAGCCGTTTATTAAAAAGAAATCCATGTGGCCGGTGCTACCTGAGTGGTCCACACGTCAGCCCCAAAAAGTCTCCTATTTTCTTTTGCACAGCATTCTGCTTGCCCGCGATGATGTCTGCCTCAATTTCAGCTACACGTCATGCTGTCGCTGTTCACTGATGACAGTGTCATCAAGGCTCGCGTCAACTCCAAGCTCGTTGGCTGTGTAGGCGCTGCTGAAAATCAAATGGCGAAGGCTATAAGCGCTGACTTCAAGGAGGTTGAACTTTGGCTGGGTAGCCGACTTCCCCAACCAAACGGTCTTTCTTTGCGCCGATTTTTCAACTCGCGCCTGCTCCACCGTTGAGTCGTACGCAGCATCAATCAGAAGTCTATCGCACGTCGAACTTGGTCCCACGACGTCGTCAGTAGACAGCGTCACTAAAGTTTCCAGCAGATCCAGCGGGTCGGGCTGCGACTTCAGCTCAGCTGCCAAAGGCGCACTTGTAGCCGGCGCCTTCTTGTTCCAAGGCCATTCTTTATGCCTTCCAAACGCTCGATATGTTAATGGTTTCAGACCAAGAGTCTCTAGGCATCCTGATCGCGATAAAAAAGTATCGATGCAAAGCAGACACACGGTGCGTTGAGAAACACGCACGGTCGTAAAAGCATATGCACACAAACATACAGCCACTGCAGTGAACGCAATGCAAAAAAAAAAAGACGCGTCGGTCACGCCAGTCAATGGGAGACTTGGAAAGGCGTGCCGTGTGAGAGCCAATTGGCGGTCTGAAAATGACTTTCGGAAAACCTGCGACAGCAGCCATTCCGCTTAATTGACATCATTATGAGATGCCGTAAAATGTGCACAAAGAAAACAGCTTCAAATCAAGCCCAAGATGGCGGCGCTCGGTTCGCTGCAACGCGCATGACGTGCGCGGGAAGTTGAAACAAATTTCGTCCTTTTTCGGGCATTTTAGTGGGATCGGGGTGCATTGAAGGCCGATTTTATCGTTTTCCCAACCAAATTTAGCGTTAGCAATTTGAGTGGGTGCTCAGAAGTACAAATGCACCAAAAATAAGCTTTGAAAAAAATTGTATTCTATTTTTGGCCGTTGTAGGACCCGCGTCCCCCCTTAAGAGAGGGGCTTTTAGGTATGGGGTTAGCATCATGTTCTCTGAAAAAAAGAAAAAAGATGGGCCACATTCGCTCAGCATTTAGCAAGCGATTAGGCAAGCCCAATTGAGAGGGAATGTAGCATCAAGCACGCAAGACAGCTTGTCCCTTGCGAATATCATTATCGTGCGGGAGGCCATATACGGGGCAAACTGGAAGGCGCTTCAAAGTGCATATTTAGGAGCACAGCAGTTTCTTGGTTGGCAGGCTGTTCATGCATCTGCCATTGCACTGCAACGATTGTAAAGAAGGTAGATGCAAGTCTTTCTTTGAGCAAAGAGCTGTGATGCACAGACAAAACTGGTCCACACAGAGTGATGTCTGGTGTGAGGGGCCATATTGCTTTGGTAAACCATCTATTAATCCGCACAAGGTAGAGACAGCCTTTCTTAAACAACACGCCATTTTATATCACTGAGTACTTGTATGTTTAACTTGTTTACATCAACTATTTTTGGTTTATCTGGTTTAACTGCATTTTAAATGTTTTCCCTGACTAAACTTTTCAGTTGCTGGCAGCGCGTTACCATGTGTACTCCTTTTTTGTGTGTGCTGTATTTTTCATGCGGCCTCAAGTTATTATAAACCAACACTAACTCAACACACTTTTTCATTTTACTGAATGGTTTTTACTTGACATCATTGAGCATGGCTTATTGGTACGGATAAAGGGTGGGGTGTGATTAACGCGGTGCACCAGTAAAGAGGGGCACAGAACGACAGCTACTACCTGCTTACTTCCACTAGCAACGAACTCGCCCAAATTTTTATTGTATTGGTGCTGAGGCATCTTCTCACTTCATCTAGAAGAGAAGGTTGTGCAATGCAGCGCGATTGAAGAGATGTTTACAAGCTCAGAGGGGCTGCATTTTAGAGAGGGCATTTTTCTACCCTCGCTGCCCGAGGAAATTCTTCCTTCCATCTTGCTTACGGGGTCCTTGAGAGGCATAGCGGGCCACATCTCAACCAAGCACTGTCACCGGCATAACTTGCTACATTCATGCGTACCAGACCAGAGAGCAAAAGACGCCCGAGGTGGTTAGGGTTGAGGCTTGAGCTAGCTGTTTCATGCTTAAGGGGAGACGTAGCAATGTGAATTGTAAGTTTGGTCAAAATGTTCAGTTTTTCAATTAATATTTAGTGGTGAAGCTCCTTAAGGTGAGTCTGTCCATTCTGCGTCGTTGTACTTGGCCACCGGAATGCGAGATGGGAGATGCGGTACTTGAAGTGTTCATTAGATGGGCGCACGGATGGACGGATGGACAGACGAATGGACGGACAGGCGAAGCGGGTATGTGCCACAGGGGATGTGAGATGGCGGTACTTGGAGTGTTCACTAGATAGACGCATAGACGGACGAACAGTGGACAGACGTGCAGACGTATAAACGGATGGACGCAGAGACGGACAGATGGACGCATGGATGGACACACGGACAGACGGTAGCAAGAACGAATAGATGGACGGTAGCACGAACGGGCTGACAGACGCTTCACCCCACTCATCATCATTCACTCTGTGGATATGCTGTGTTTTTTTTTTTTGTAATCCTGAGACTATGTTTTACATCTTAGTGTGATTTTAGATCAAAATAAGTAGTAGAAGTTGAGAAGCAAGCATTTTACTGGTGGGCTGTCATCAAAAGCTATGTGAAAATTGGGCATAGCAAAACGCAAATTTGCAGCTTTCCCTTGGCAAAATGCCACCATATTGGCATCATCATAAAGACGACAAATTGAAGCTCAAGATAGCCACAATGATGCATTTTTCCAATGAAAAATGAAGCTAGCTTCCTTCAGAGATCTGCTTTATTAGCTTCTAGCTCCAATTCCTTAAAGCTCCATTTTCTCAGGTTTAATTTTTTAGCAGTTGTTGTCAGTCATACCTGTGCCATTTCACAACAAATTAAGCTATAAGCATTCTGTTTCCTGCACTTGGATTATGAGACATTGGTGAGCGCCGTGAAGCTGTCCATATTTCTGTGCATATCATACAGACGTTTTTAATT